CTTCTTGGGGTCTGGGCTCAGAACCTCTCAAAGCCACTGCCTCCCCATTCTATTGGTCTGTTGGTCTAAGCAGGCCTAGGGCCAGCCCAGATTCAAAGAGGTAAAGAAATAGACTTCACCTTTGGATGGGAGTGCGTTGCTGTCACATTGCAAAGGAATGTGGACACAGGGAGCCATTCACTGGGGACCGTTATTATGTCAAACTACCACACTTCTTTTAATGCACGCATATGTTATGGCTACTTGCAAGCATCTGTTTACTTCATTATGAAGGTTCCAGAATATTTGCACATTAATTTTTCAAATTATATATTAAGTTGTATTATACATTTCTCTCCTTTTATTACACTTAGAAAATATACCTATGAATATACATATGTGAATATACATATATGAATGGATGTACATATATACTTAGGAACATATATATGGGACTATATACAGAAATATGCATATGTAGAAATATATATTATGTATATTAGTTATATATATACATATGTGTGTGTGTGTATATATATACAATTCTTTTGTTTGCCCTGGCTTTTAAGCATCTGGGACACCAAAGGGCAAGTGACTGAAGTGACTGACCCAAGAGAGTCTGATAAGGGTGGGTGTGAGCCCCAATATGTAGAAGGCTGTGCATAGGTGAAGGAAGAGGGAGGGTAAATGTGAGACACGAAGGAGGTGCAGACAGGGCCCATGGTTGATTGGCTGGGATGGGAGCCAGTCCTGGGCTGAGGATGGAGTCCCACCCTCTGCGCTTTTCCCCCTCACTCACAAAGCAGGACATCCTAGAACACAACGAAGAAACACGTGTCAGCTCCTAATCTTCCCCAGGAGCCTCCTGCTTGTCATTCCTTGAAGCAACTTGTCCCCAAGAATGTCACTCTGTTGCTGGGGGCCACCATGGCGCAGGAGGGCTGGGGCCCCTCTGAGGGTGGGAGGGGTGTAGGGGCTGCCTGGGGACTGTGGAGGGAGGGACTCACAACTGACCTGCTGGGAAGGCCCTGACCATTTCTCTCCTGTCTTGGTCCCCAAGTACAACCCCCTTAACCTCACAGCGCTGGACTGGTCCCTGCTGAGCAAAAAGGAGTGTTTGAACTATGGTGGGCGCCTACTCGGGAACTCCTGCCAGTTTATCCCAGACCTGGCACTCATGTCCTTCATCCTTTTCTTCGGGACATACTCCATGACCCTGACCCTGAAGAAGTTCAAATTCAGCCGCTATTTCCCTACCAAGGTATGTTCAGCCTCCAGTTAGGAGGGAGCCTACGGACAGACAGCTCACAGGGAAGCCCCCTCGGGGAGTCTGAGAGGGTGCTGGTCCATCTGCTGGGATGGACACCACATCAGCTCTGGCTCGCTGAGGCTTTTTCACATTAAGAGCACAGACTTGAGTCAGAGAGAACTGGGTTCCCTTGTCAAGGCCCCACAGCAGCGCTCGGTATTGTCAGACTTTTGTCTTCAGCCTTTCTGTGCAGTAGTATACTGTGGATTTTTTTTCCCATTTTATTTCCCCGATGACTAATGAAGTTGAAAATCTTATCATGTGTTTATTGGCCGTATGGCCATCTGACTTTCTTCTTCTAAGTGCCAGTTTAAATCTGTTAACACGTTTTCAACGGGGTTGCCTGTCTTTTTCTTTCTGATTTGCAGTTCTTTACATATTCCAGATAGAAACCGTTTTTGTGATCATATGTGTTACAAATATCTTCTCCTGCTGTACGACTGGCCTTTTTACTCGCTTAATGGTATCTTTTGATTAATAGGGATTCTTAGTTTTGCTGTAATCAAATATATCAAATTTTTCCTCAAGGAAAATATTAGCTAGAAGATATTCTCCTATGTTATCCTTTAAAAGCTTCGTTGCTTTTCCTTTCATGTTAGCTCTCTAATCCACCAGAAGTACTTTTGACATATAGTAAGAGACAGAGTGTGTTTCTTTGTTTTTTATTTAGATAGCCAGTTGTTTCAGCACTTTTTTTAAAAAAGACCGTCTTTTTGATCATGGTTTCCAGGGGTTTGGGGGGAGGGAGGGAGGGAGGGAGGAATGAATAGATGGAGCACAAGGGATTTTTAGAGCAATGAAATTATTCTGTGTGATACTATAGTGGTGGCTACATGTCATTATGCATTTGTCAAAGCCCATAGAATGTACAGCATCAAGAATGAACCCTAATGTAAACTATGGACATTGGTTGATCATAATGTGTCCATGCTGGTTCATCGATTGCACCAAATATGTCACACTGATGAGGGATGGTGAGGGTAGTGGAGTGTATATGTGTGGGTGGGGAGGGCTATGTGGGAACTCTATATTTTCTGCTCAATTCTGCTGTCAAGCTGAAACTGCTGTAAAAAAAAAAGTCTATTAATTTAAAAAAGGAAGAAAAAAAAGGAAAAAGAAAAAAGAGATCATCTTTTCCCCACTGCTCTGCAGTGCTTCCCTTGCCATATGTCAAATGTTCACATATGATGGGATCTGTTTCTAGGTTCTTTATTCTGTTTCACTGGTTTGTCCATATGCCAGTTTCACAGCATTCATTTCTAAAACTGATAATAAGTCTGTGTATCTTATAAGCCAAACTTTCCGTATTTGTCCTTCTTTTTCGTTGATGCCTTGGCCCTTTGCATTTCCACATACATTTTAGAATCATCTTAAATTTCACCAAAATAAAAACTTGTTGGAATTCGGATAGAATTATATTGACTCTAAGTATCAATCTGGGGAGAATTTACTCCTTTCAAATTCTGAATATGGTATACCTTGCCATTTATTTAGGTGTTTATTTCTCTCCATAATGTTTTATAGGTTTTGGTCTTGAGGTGCACATTTTTTATTAGATTTATTCCTAGGTATTTGATTTTGTCTAGCCTATTGAAAATGCTAACCATTATTTTAATTTTCTTTTATGTGGCTAGAATAAAATGTTTGTTAATCAAACATTATTTGCATATGTGAGCAACAGGTATGAAATGGAGCACTCGGAAGAATTTTAGCAACTCTCTTCTACCATAAATCCCATGAGCACTCTCCCAGAGCCTTCATAAATAAATATTACTACTACTATCAATAATGATGAAGATGAAGAAATCTTTGATATGAATAATTGAATTTTTTCCAATATTTTGTAAAGATCAACCAAAAGGCTCTTTAGGAAGCTTTACAGTATACAAACTGAGTGAAAAATAGTGTACTTGTAACACAAATGCATCCTCAAGACTGAGTGGGTGCACTGTTATTTCTTAAGGTAGGAGGGAATTCACAGCTCTTTATTACATCCATCTTTAGGTTAGGCTGGACCATGTGAAATTGCCTCTATTTGACAGTTTTTACCTGCCAAAAATGGCAAATCCGTATGGTTTAATGTAATAATGTTTTGATCCGGATGCTAGGACTATGGTAAAAAAGCCAGTGTAAACCTAGCACACTGCTTGGTTCTGCTGTGACCAGTATTTTATATAATCGTAATAATGGAAAGCTGCTACTGGTTTTCAACTTTTAGAATCAAATTCTAGATAAAACACAGAAGACATGTTCACAGAAGATGAGCATTCTCAGCTTTGACAATGTACAGCTCACAGTGAGGAGTCACAAGATGGAAGGGGGGGGAAGGATGGGGAGGACAGGACAGCAAGCCTGAGGGGGAATGAGAGATATTGGTAAAAGTTCGTGGAAAAGAGATTTAATTATGTAACTTGAAAGGGCAAAGGAAAACCCATAGAAGGAGTTTAAAAATAACTGTCAAAAGAAAAATGCCATACGATATCACTTACATGTGGAGTCTAAAAAAAAAAGACACAAATGAACTACTTATTATTTAAAACTTAGATGATTGATTTCTTGAATATGTGTAACTATATTTGACTGTCCTTTATGAGTGCATTACTGCATTCTGTTGATTCTTGTAAATAAATAAAAATAAAAATAACTCTCAAAGATTGGGAATGAGGAGAGGGCAGGAGGGGTAGTGCAAGTAAGCTAAATCTTTATCAACAGACAGTGCCTTCAATTAGTAAATCAGAATAGAGAAGTATAACATATTAGTTAATGACCCAGAGGAAGCCACCCAAACAACTAAAGTCATGCAGACAGAATGGGTGTATCTGGAAAGGGGGACCAGAGTGAAGAAAAGTGAGGAAGGGGACTATGCTTTTTACATTATGTGGGGGTTTAATTGATTATATATGTTGATTAACAATTTTAAAGGGGTGTAGGGGGTACAGGGAATGAATTAAATGTGCTGTCATCTGCCCTTGTGCTCCCTAACCTCTTCCCCCGTTGTTCTCCAGAATTTGCTATCTCTGAAGAGATACAGAAAAGATGGCAAGATAGAAGGTGAGGTCTAAAACCTGGCCTAGGATGGGCCTCCTAAAACAGGGAAGCAAGAGGTGAAGGACTTAGTGGACAGAAGGTCTGAGAGGAGCCACGGGTCCCCCAGCAGAGTTAGGGGCCTCGCTCCTGGCCCAGGTGCCAGTGCGACAATCTGTCACACGTTTTTCGAAGCTAGGATTTCCTTCAGAGTTCAGCCCTTACCCTCACTACCCCGATGGGTGACCCAGTTCAGTCTGTCACCCCAGAAAATGTCTTCAGCAATGGCAGCCATGCCACATGAATAACAACAATCCCCACTTTTTTTTTGAAAGCGAAATTCTTTTACTAAGTCAACAAATATTAACTGATCATTTACTTTGCGCCATGCTCTGTTCTAACTACTAGATATTGAATGCCGAGTGACATAAACATGGTCCCTGCTCTGGTGGAGAACGCACTTTAAAGGGGAATGAATCCCACTTTGACTAATTCTTGCCAAGCCCTCTGAATGTGTCACAGCTCACATGTGCCTATGAGGCAGGTGCTGTCATACCTCCATTTTACAGAGGAGGAAACTGAGGCCCCAAGGTCACCCAGCTGGCAAGAGCAGAACCAGGATTTGAACCTGGGTCTTCTGACTCGGGAGCTTAGGCTCTTAACAGCTCTCCTCTGGGCAGGCGCTTGTCTGACTTGCTCATCTCTGTTTTTTTGCAGGTTCGGGCCCTGGTAGCCGACTTTTCTATCATCTTCTCCATCCTGCTGTTCTGTGGAATCGACACCTGTTTCGGCCTGGCAACCCCCAAGCTGCTCGTGCCCAGCGTCATCAAGGTCTGCCCCCAGCGCCTGCCCTGGCGTTCTCTCTGCCTGCCCACCCGCTGCAGGTCCTTCCCCTCTAAGCTGATCAAACTTTGATATATTCAGCCAAGCCACCCTGTGGGTTCTCCGTGTGTGCTCCACCCTTCCTCACACAGCCTTCCTGGGGGCAGTCCTTTGAGATGCTGGTTTGGGGATATATTCACGATGATATAGTCCTGCTGTGTAGCCACAGGATGGGGAAGGTGCTGGAATCCACTCTCCAGCCCAGCTGAAGCCCTTGATTTCCACTTCCGGGTCTACCATTCCCTCACTCCTGGCAGTCTCCAAGTTGGGCCACCTGGGATCTGTTGAAAATGATCCTTTAAAACAGGGATCCTCAAAGTGTGCCCCCTAGACGAGCATCACACCATCTAATGGGAACTTGTTAGGAATGCAGATTCTCAGCCCCACCCCAAACCTATGGAATCAGGAAGTCTGGGGCTGGGGCTCAGTGCTCTGCATTTTAATAAGCCCTCCAGGAGATTCTGGGGGCTGCTTAAGTTTGAGAACCACTGCTTGAGAAATTTCCCTTTAGTCCAGAGTTGGAGCTGTTTGCCTGTCGCTACCCTTGAGCTCTGCTCCCTCACTGGGAACACCACCATCTAAACTAGACTGGGAGGTACGGGTTCTCCAACTGACCCTCCCTGCCTTTGAGGGGTTGAACTTTGTAATATTATTTCTGCTTAAACATCCCATAAAACTCATGTTGGCCTTGAAATTTAAAGTACATCTTTCTTTTAAATAAAACAAAAGATAAACTTCAGCCCAGCTCCCACAAGGATAATCCCTTATCCTCAATATGCAAGCCTGAATTACTGGTCTTGTTTTACAGACAATTCTGTAATGCTCCCCGGACAGGTGACTCGGAGGAGAGGCAGAAAGCGTCAGGCACTGGGCCCATCAGTTTCTTTATTCTTCACTGTTGGGCCTCATTGCTGTTTCTTGTTAACATAGTTTGCAATTAGTGATCACAAGCTGCATCCCAGTGCCCTCTGACTCGGCACCTCCCTGTCTCCCACACAATCCCCGGGGCAGCTGCAACAAAACCTCTCCTTTGCTCTGCACACACCACGCCCTTCCCAAGTCTGTGCCTCCTGGGATCTCCTTAAAGTTACAGGTCTTTAAGGAAAAAGACTACACTTGGAAAGTACCCCTTTCCGTGGGGAAACGGCGGGAAGGCTGGGAGAGTGGGCCGGACGACAGGTGCCCTGGGACAGGGGAGAGAGGAAAGGGCCCTCTCCGTTTGCTCCGCTCAGCCCACGCGGCCTGACCGAGGCTGGTTCGTGGCCCCCTTTGGGAAGAACCCGTGGTGGGTGTACCTGGCGAGCATCCTGCCCGCCTTGCTGGTGACCATCCTGATCTTCATGGACCAGCAGATTACGGCCGTCATAGTCAACCGGAAGGAGAACAAGCTGAGGGTAAGGCTGGTGCTGGAAGCAGGGGCACAACCTCTTTCTTTCCACAAAGTTGGACGGAATGAAGGAGAGAGGTGGTGCTTCTTTCAAAATTTGGGGTCATTTGTGAAGCGAAATATGGGGGCAGAAGACTGGAGTTCAGGGTGTGGGCAGAGGGGAATGTGACCTCCAGATGTGGGTGAGGCCAGCAGGGCCAGGGGAGGCTCCAAGGACCAGGGCCAAGCCCAGGGTTGGCCCCTGCACTTCTCCCAAAGTGACCCTCCCGCTCTGCATCCCCTGACAGTGAACTTGGGCGTCTGAGCAGATCCCAACAAGGGGATTTTGACCAGGACCGTAAGGCAGAGGAGCATCCTCGGCCTTCCTGCCCTCCCTGCCGTGGGGTCTGAGGAGCCCAGGCTGCCCTCCCCCCCCCGACCTGGACCACTCTGGGCTCGACCTAGGCCTGTCCCACCTGGGGCCTCTCGTTCAGGAACTGCAGACATTGTGGCCGCTGGGCAGGATACCTTCTTCCCAGGGGCCCAAACCCAGGGCCTTTCCCAACCTGAATACCCATCTCCTCCCTTGCCCTGGGGTCGGTGCGGCCTGACCGCATCAGGCTGGCAGCCCCATCGGAGTGCTGCCTAGAAGGGCAAGGGGAGCCCTCAAGCCGTGTTCCCCAAGCAGCTGCCTCGGGGAGAGCTCTGTCCGCCCGCCGCGGAAGGTGGCTGGGAACAGGCTCCCGAGACAGCTTCCCCCCTCCCACTGCCCCCTGCAGAAGGCTGCTGGCTACCACCTGGACCTGTTCTGGGTGGGCATCCTCATGGCTCTGTGCTCCTTCATGGGGCTCCCCTGGTATGTGGCTGCCACGGTCATCTCCATTGCCCACATCGACAGCCTCAAGATGGAGACGGAGACCAGTGCCCCTGGGGAGCAGCCCCAATTCCTGGGGGTCAGGTAGGTGGAGGGCAGGGCCTGGGGGCCACCTGAGCGGGAGTGGTCAGGTCGGGGGTTGGGGAAGCCGGTTTTTCTTACCATCAAGGCCTTTGGGTGAATAGGGCTCCTCTGACTGCCCAGGAACCTTAGGGCTAGAAGTGATACCCTTGACGGGAGGGAAGCAGGAGACGACAATTCAGTTCTAAGGGGTGCTTTTTTCTTAACAGATTCCAAGCAGCGCACCCCCATACACTCTCACCTCTCACCTAGGGAGGCCACTCGAGCGTTCCCACGGAGCCCCTTCTGACCTGTCCCTCTGTCTCCTCTTCAAGACTCCCTAGCCATGCCAACCCCCAACATTTCCAAGTGAGGGTTCAGGTCCTGCTCAGTCTCCATTCCTCCAGAAAGCCTTTCCAGGACCACTCCCACCCCCGGGCTGTGGCCCAGGGCCTGTCACATTGCGGCTTTGCCCATCCCTCCTCTCACACCGATGTCAGGTCCCTGACCTGTTTCAGGCAGAGAAGCTCGCCTTCCACCTCTGCGGACCTCTGGGCTGAGCCCACGTCAGACGTTGGCATTTTCATACACGGCTGTCCTAAGCGCTTCGCCCCGCTGCCTCGGGGTCCGTGGGCTGCCCAGCCGGCCCTGCGCAAGGGTTTTCCGTGATCAGGGTAGGGTCCCCTTCCAGACCTTTGAGCCCCAGATGGCTGGGCCCAAGCAACCCGCCCCAGAGCCCCCAAGCTCCCACCAGGGCTGTCCTGGGTCTGGGCACTCCAGAAAGCATACCTGCCTCCAGCCCCTGCTCCCTGCTCCGCCAGCGGCCACGCCCCCTTCCCCCAAATCCTCATCGGTCATGTCCCACAACCACGGGGGCTTATTACAATCGAAGGGCGGAGGTTATAGGACTTCACGTGCCACTTTGTCCTCACAACAGCCCCTGAGGTGGGCGCCACGAGGTACGTTCTACTGATGCTGACGACATTTAGGGCCTTGCCTGATGCCACATGGCTAGTAAGTGGCAGAGCCAGGATTCAGCCCAAGTCGGTCCGGCCCAGGCGCCTCTCTGTTAGCCACTGCACCGCATGGCCTCCTGGACGCACCTGTCAAACGCCCTCACCTCAGCCCAAGTTCCCTCTCTTCCCATGTGCCGGCCAGCTGGTCCTCCAGTCCTGGTTTTCTGTCCGGAATGGGGCAGTGGGCAGGGGCCAGGGCCTTGACCACAACCTCCCAGCCCCGCCCAGAGAGGGCTGGAACGGTCGTGAAGCATCTCCC